AACTGACAAAGTTTAGCCTGGCACCGAAAAATAAAAACCAGAGGCCGCGAAATGTGCCTCCAGCACCTCAGCGAACGGCCGTTTTACTGGGGGGGCTTTGTGATGGACTGTTTCTTGGCTGGGAGCAGCAACCTCCAACTGGTAAGTCAACAGAGCCAAGAAGGCATTGTTGGACGGACAGCGCTGTGCAAAAGTTTTAGGGACTCAAAGTTAAGCCAAGATTCTTTCAAAGACAATGCCTGAATAGCTCTTATTTATTTAATAATATACTTTTTAAAAACTGCACGCAGAAAACGCAAAATAAAAATCAAATATTTGGTGGGACCACCTTGTGTCTTTACAATAGCACTGTTCCTCTTTGCTACACTTTTCAAGAACATGTTCTGTGGACTGTCTGTCTTCTATCTTTTGATATAACCTCAAGTCTTGCATATCCAGACCGATCGCCACAGGCCTGTGAGCTCTGTAAAATGGTCTGACTGCATATCATTCTGCTATAAGGGACAAAATACATGCACTGGCCAGTTTGTATTACTTTAAACCAATCAAAGTTGTGCTGGGTGGTGCTAAGCCCAGGATGCAGCGAGGACGCCCCGCAAAATACTGTGTGTGGTTGTTTCGGTGGAACATTTACACACAAACACTGCTATTAAAATGCCGAGTACACCAAAACAACCAGGCAGGCCTGCCATTTGCACGATCAAAACTGTTGTCAAAACTTGCAATTTTCAGTGAGGCTGTTTTTGATTCCAGTAGTAAAGAGGATTTTGAAAATGTTGACATGCAGGTAGTGGAAGAGGAGGAGAAAGCTGTGAGTGTACATCGGGTGAGTCAGACTCTGCTGTCCCAGACTGACTCTGCGATGTTGAGAGCACGACTCTGTGGAGACCATCTGTTGCAGGACTGCTTGTGCTTCTTGCTACTCAAGGTGGCCCGTCGGACCGATCTGGTGACTCCCCGATGGTGCTGTGTGATGGATGCACATACAAGCATGTGCAGCGCCTAACGTGTTTGCACAGGACTCCGAAGCCACTTACAATCTGGGTTTTTGTGTGCTTGCGGATTGCCCCTGCTTGTTGTCTTTGTGCTAAGCTAAGCTAACTGTCTCCTGGTTGTAGTCTGATATTAAACACATGAGAGCAATGCCAAGCTTCTTATCTGCCTCTTGGCAAGAAAATAAATGTTTTTTTTTTTCTCCCAGAATTCAATATAATTTAACTTGATTTGATTTAAATAACGCAGGTTCACAACATAGATCATCTCAGGAGACTTCTCATAGTAAGGTCAAGACCTTACATAACATATTATATAAGGTCAAGACCTTATGTAATATATCATAGAGAGAAACCCAACAAATCCAGAGATTGCCTTTGAGATAGCACTTGACGACAGCAATAAGAAAAAAACTCCCTATCAAGAGGAAAGAACCAGACTCAGAGAGAGCATCCGTCTGCCTCGACCAGGTAGGGAGAGGCAAAACATGTCAAACTATCCCCTCCCACAGAAGGAGTCACATTCAACAAATGAGTTATTCAGATGACAAGACGGTGTAATGAAGACTGAATGTACTCTTCATTTTTGCAGCGTGCACATTTCTACCACAGATAAGCAGCTAAAAATGGATAATGATGTCATCCCTGTGTAAAACCCCAAACATTAATCTGCATCTTTGACAAATATTTGTGATGACTATATCAGATCAAGGATCCCTACTTTTCTGCTTGGCAAGTCTCTGGAAACAGCATGAAAACTCATTCCCATCTGCTTTAAAGCTCCTCCTAAGTCTCTCGCTTGCTGGCCTGAATTCAGCTAAAAGCTATAAGAACACTTTAGATGGGCCGCCTTTTTTTAAACTCCCTTAATATCTCCAAATGCCTGACAATGAAAGGCTAATAGAAATCCTCACATCGAGCTTTATGAAAAGGGAAAAGCTGTTTGGCCTCTTTGATAATGGAGTTCAAAGTCTTTTTTTTTTTATCGTATCACAGGGTTAAATTAGAGGTAACTGTTTTTGCAAGATGCAAAGACACAAATGTCGGGCTGAGAAACAATAAAAAATGTGGATTTATCCAAAGTGCAAAAACAACCTGAACTTACTTCAAACACGCTTGTGTCATTTGAACCAAAAAGAACAAAAGAAACCTTACATAAGCCCAGCGAGTCTGACCTTGCTCGCCGCTCGGCCTTGTCCACTGTTCTTAATCTCAGGGGCATAAATTAGCAGCACCTACAGTATGCTCGGAGTTTCCAAGGAGAGCGGCCTCCTAGCAAGAGGGGCCGAGGATGTCTGCAGGAGTTTGTTGCCGGGTCGCGGGGAATGGCTGCACTTGTCACAAAGACTAAAGGCAGTTTCCTCGCTCAGCACCCAGAGACAGTGAAGCCTCAAAGTCAAGGGTGGGCAGGAATGCCCTGAATAGGCAGTTACGTAAAACTCGCAGCACCCTGAGAGGATAGAGAAGGAGCTACTCAGAAGCTCACAAAGCTGACTGAAACTCAGCTGTATCACAGCGCCAAAAAATGTACAGTATAAACATCTTTACAGTGCACGAGTCTGAGGCGCATTTACATTTACACCAGCAGAGAAGAACAAATGCAATCTTTTCATGTGAACAAGAGCATGAAGACAGCAGCCCCCCCCGAGTGGAAAAAAGTCCCCCAACCCCTCCTACTACTACTACTAAACAAAAGTGAAAGATCACTTTGTGGTAATTTTGCATCTCTTTCTAGTTGTATTCTGCATCATTTTTGTTGTTTTGTGTCTCTTTGTTATTCATTTCTGTCAGCTTTTTCTAATTCTGATCCCTCTCTGGTTGTTTTGCATCTAATTTTTTTGACTAATATTGTTTTTTTTATTAATATTATTGTGCATCTCTTTGTAACTGATTTGCATATCCTTTTGTCCCCCTTGTGATCATGAGTATTTTGTGTCTATTCATGTTTGTTTTGTGTCTCTTCGTGATCAATTTCTTCCAGCTTTTTCTTATTTTGATGTCTCTGTGGCTGCTTAGCATCAAATTTGCACCCTTATTGAGGCTTTTTGTGATTATTTTGCACCTTTTTATATTATTTTGCATCTCTTTGTAGTTGTTTTGCATTTTCTTTTGGTAACGTTGTGCCCCTTTGTGATCATTTTGTGGCCTTCTGTGTCTATTTGGTGTCTGTTAATGCTTGTTTTGTGTCTCTTTGTAATCAATTTCCATGTGCTTTGTCTCATTTTGATCCCTCTCGGCTGTTTTCCATCCAATTCGCACCCATATTGACTGTTTTTGTTGTCACTTTACATCTCTTTTTTTTGTCATTTTGCATCTCTTGCGAATTATTTTGTGTCTTTATTAATCGTTTTAAGTCTCTTTGTCGTCATTTTCCATCTCTGTTGAAGTCTCATTGTGAACTTTTGCATCTCGTCATGCTTGTTTTGCGTGCATTTGTACTAATTTTGCATCTCTTTGTGCATATTTTGATTGTTTTTGGTCCCTACGTGTTCATTTTAAGCCTCTTAGTGGCAATTTTGTATCTCTAATCTTTTCGGGCCTTTTTGCATCTATTCTTTTTCATTCATTTAGTGTCTCGTCGTGCTTGTTTGTGGCCATTTAACTTTCTAACACGCGACATTAACCGTCCCTTCACACTACGGCTCTGGTCCAGGGGCCCATATGCCTTTGCTGCAGGGCCCATTCAGTAATCCATCCATGAATAAGGGAGTTTATGAGATAAAACGTGAAGCTATTGATTAGAAGAAGGAAAAAAAAAACACAAAATTAGCTAGGACTAATCCCCTTTTGATGTCAACAAAGTAATTGCAGAAATTATCTGGGGCATGTTTACCAAAACAGTCAAAAGATACAGTATCTCCGATCACCGGTGCATTCGCCATGCACACTTTGCACTTTATCGCAGTTTGCTCTGAAGCACTTACAAACAAAACGGGGAGAGAAAAAAAAAAAGAAAAGGAGTGGGGGGGGGAGAAAAACACAGCAATAGCCAAACCTCCCTCTCTCCCTCTTTTTGCTCCCACCAGAAGCCACCCAGCGAGCACCAGGGCTAACCCTGCTGACCTGACCCAGATATTAACCCAAGCCTCCAGATGTGAACGCGCGCTGGGATTACTCCACCACTGCATCAATGCATCAAGCTCCACATGCTTTCCTAATGAGGCATCCTAAAATGACCCTGGAGACAGAGCCGACTGTCTGCCTCGCTATCTCCCTCTATTCCCACAACTCTGCCTCTCTGTCACAAGTCCTCCTCATGTCTGCCTGTGTGAGGGCGAATTAAAAAAAAAAAAACAACAACAGCAGGGCAAAATACAAGTTAGTCAGGGACAAATATATATGAATCAGACATTCCCCTTAAAGCAGCTGACCTCATGCAGCAGTCAAAATGTATAACATTTGAAAATATGCAGCAAAATATTAGGAATGTTCTGCTGATGTGCTTTGCAGGGCAGCTTCATGCAAACCTAACACAGCTCTATTTGAGTGCAACCAAATAAAGTTATCAAGCCAAGCAGAGTCACATCTCCTCTTCTGCTGGACTACTTCATCCCCTAATGTATGCATGAATGTCTGACAAAACTTGTCCTGCAACAGAGGCTGTCTGGCTTGCAGGAGAAAAGCAAGAGGTTTACTTTAGTTTCACTCATCCTGTCCACATTTGCACCAGCAGTCACGACCTGGGTCTCTTTCTTTTTTTTTTGCAGAACCCTTGATATGAAAGAATTTAACTCCTTCTCTGCATCAATGTAGCTATTGTAGCCATTGCATTCTTTCGGGCAGCTTCAATTTCCAACTTGTGCCATGTCGGCAAGTTCCAAACTTCACCGCGAACCGTACGAGGCACAAAACGCACGTATGACAGCCGGTGGCGAGGGATCGTGATGAGGCGCAAGTGTGGCAAGTTTGATCGGCCTGCTAAGTAGCTCCAAATTTGCAAGAGATCAAGAAGGGGACACAAAATAAACAAAAAAAAAAAAAAAAATGCAGCGCTGCTCCGTAGCCTACCATTTTGATCCAGCGTTTCGAGGCTCAAAGGAGTCCCAGAATAACTCCTTTCGCACCAGTTTCCCCTCCGCCATGAAAATGACCGTTGATTTGTCACATTTCTTCAGTTTTTGCCTGCTCCCTCAATCTTTTTTTTTTCTCTCTCTCTCTCTCTCCCGTGCTGCTGCTGTAGCATTCAGACAGACAAAAATGCAGAGGCTGCTTTTGCAGAAGGAATTGGTGATTGGAGCTCGGGGATCATATGGGCTTTTTTGTCAGACGTTTTTAAAGGGACACGGTACTGTTTAACGTGGAGTTGCGAGACAGACGCATTTCTTTGTACTGTACGAGGAGGGGGGGGGGAGATATTTCGGAGCGAGGAGGAGGAGGAGGAGGATGAGGAAGGCTGGGAAGGACACCACGGCCAGATGGCGCAAAAAAAAAAAAAAACCGGGCTGCGCTGCGCCTTCCTGTGCGCTCCTGCAACACGGTGACGTCAGGCGCGCAGACAGATGCGGAGGTCGCGGAGTTCATTTATTTCCCAGATTGCAGAAGTCGCTGGAACTTCATTTTTTATTTTTGCGCGATATTCGATTCTCTTTCCGCAAATTAGCGCCAAAAAAAAAAATCTGCGCTTTCTTAACTTTTACGCATCAAGATTCTCCACCGGGATAGAAACCTGCTTGCATACTGTGTCATTTCTCACTGAGAGATTTAACCAGAAACTCAGTGATATTTAATTTGGCACAGAAACTGGTGTCATGATTCGTGTTTTTTCGTCATTTACGTATTTTATCACTCAGTTCTGCAGGTATGACTGTCATGTCAAAGGTCAGGTCATTTTTATTTCTACAGCACAGCTGTTGGGCCAAAGTGCTTCCCAATAAAGAAAGAAGACTGACCTCATATATGGACCTCACAAGTTAAACTTTTAAGACACCACAGTATTATTTAGTACGTGGATTTACCAGACTAATTCAAATATTACAGCTAAAACTCTAAACAATTATATGTTGTGCCTATCTAACTTAAATGTTAAGGTTAAGACCCGTCAATATCCATCCATCCATCCATCCATTATCTATACACCGCTTAATCCTCACTGGGGTCACAGGTGCTGGAGTCTATCCCAGCTGACTTAGGGTGAAGGCAGGGGACACCTTGGACAGGTCACCAGTCTATCACAGCGCTACACTTAGAGACAGACAACCAAGCACACTCACATTCACACCTACGGACAATTTAGAATCACCAATTAACCTCAACATGTTTTTGGACTGTGTGGGAGGAAGCTGGAGAACCCGGAGAGAACCCACGCTGCACGGGGAGAACATGCAAACTCCACACAGAAAGATCCTGAGTGTCCTCACCGGGACGCGAACTGGCGACCTTCTTGCTGCGAGGCAACAGTGCTAACCACCGAGCCCGTCAATATTATTCAGTATCTGATACATCTGACTAAACTCAATAGTTAAGACCCTACAAATAAAATGACTAATTTAATGTTAAGATTAAAGTTAGTCTTACTTGTATATACACATGTATTTGTATACATACATACATACATACATGCATGCATGTAATTACAAAATTCAATGTAAAGGTTAAGAACCTGCCACAATATTTATTATGTAAATTTACCTGAGTCATTTAAACATTACAATTAAAACGCTAGAAGATTGTATAAAATTGAAATGCATCTGAATAAATTAAATATTAAGGGTAGGACTCTACAGTATTACATATATTATAAATCTACACTCTGCAATATTATATACAATACACATTTACCTGATAACTTATTTGTTAAGGTTAGGAACCTACAATATCATATACTTCAACAAATTCCCTGTTCAGATACATAAATAAAGTTGTTACCCTGCAGACGTATATAAAGAAAGTCCACTGTGAGGACTTGTGTATAATAAACGTTTTTTAACAGGCTTCATTCCTGGTTGTGTGGTCGGTCAGAGTTTGGCCAGACTTTGGCGTAAGTTGGCCGTGAACATCTTGAGCAACCCCTCGGTCCTGTCTCTACACAAATGAGTGTAAAACAAAACCGTACTGCAATTCCACAACACTCCAACAGAACGAAACCACTTCTCTTTGCATCCTCCTGTGGGGCCAAACTGAGATTCCCCCTCCACAAGATGGAGCCTCAAGAATGGCTTCAGTGCACTTCATGGTGTTACACACTGCAAAATCTGTGTATTCATTTTCTTTTAGAGATGACAAGATAAATGTCATTCTCACATTTGCAGATGAAATCCAGTATTATTATGCTAACTTGTGCTTTCTCTCCACTCCCCTGATCTGGAAATCCTTTTCTCCTGCTTCATCATAAAGACTCCGTCCAGTTGTTGTTGTTTTTTTTTTAACCTTGTTAACTTGTCGATATGTTCTTCTTTGATAGGCTGGAAGACACATCCCGAGCAAACTAAGCTGCCAGGTCAGCAGCTTTGGGCTTTTTGTATCATTTTTCTGCTTCAGAATCAATTTCTGGTTTGAACATGTGCAGCAAAATGACTCCAACGATTTACAGCGTTTGAGCCATCGTAGGTGAGCTGGTGTGCTGGAGCAGCAGTGAGTGGGGAGGGGTGATTAGATAGAGAGATAGGGACTTCATAGATCTGCACATTCTAGTGGAGGTAACAGTATGAACTAAGACATTTTAAGGCATGAAGGCACTGTTTTTATGAGATACGCTGAGACGAGTTTTTAATCATTTAACCAATGACTGGAGAGGGACTTTAAACGCACCTTGAGGAAAGAGGAGACTTTTGGAATCTGGGTGGAGCTAAGACACAACGTACCAGTTTTATACACCAGTGCGCACTTTGAGATCCTCAGGAAGTTTCTGTTTCAGGGGCGCGACTGAAAACTAAAGCAGAAAGAGAGTTTGCAGTCGGGGCCTCAAGGCTCTGGAACGATCTTCCTGAAACATACTTTTATTGGATGAACTTCCTTTGAACTGTCCTTCATTTCTTTCAATAATGCTTTGACCTTTTCTAACACTGTTGGTTCTGTTACACCTTGTTGTGTTTTTATCTGTCGGTTTCATGACTTCACGTTGCCGAAAAGTGCTCTATAAATAAAGATCGTTATTATTATTTCAAGGAAGACAAGTGAGTGAGGTAGGTGAGGAGAGACATTAGCATAATGAAAAGCATAATGTCATGCAGCTCTCGTTAATAAAGTGGATTAGTGTATCAGACTGTTCCTTTAAGACCTGGTGTGATGTCAGTGGATGTAGCCTTTTAGTGCTGCATATAGTACTGCCAAGCAAAATTTGCATTTCATAAAATGACCACAATCTAACTGCCACCTGGGCTGCCACTAACACTTATGTTCATCATTTATTCATCTGCAGATTAGTTTCCTGGTTGACCGATTAATCATTCAACCCACAAAACTTAGGAAACAGTAAAAAATAACAATCACATTCTCACAGGATGAGTCTTGTTTTAGTTGACCAGCACTCCAGAACTCAAAAGATATTCAGCAAGTTCTTGCACAGGAAAAGCTGGAACCATCATATGTTTGACATTTGTGCCAATATAATTTATAATATGGTTGCCTTTTCTCACAATCGGCTCATTCCAGCTCTAATTGCCACATAAAACTTAAGAGCCTCCAGGCTTCGTGACATTTTTTGGCCCCCGGGCTGTTGCCCAGTTTCCCCATGTAATTCAGCTTTGTCATGTGGGCCCCTGAAGGATCCCTGGACCTCGCTGCTCACTCCTGAGCAGAAGTCGATATGATCATAACAAGGCGGGAAGAAAATGAATCACAACCTGGCGCGGGTCCTATTTATCATCCCTTTTCCGGGACTCAGTGAACTTGACTCGGAGGAGCTGACAAGTCAACCACCGCGCTGACAACACATTCAGCTCTTTTGTATTTAATCTACCGTAAATGTATGAAAGTGTAAACAAACTCATCATGCAGATGTAGTTTGGTAGACTTCAGTGTTTCAGATCTAATCCTGTTTAACATTTCACACAAGGGGAACTTGAAGAGGAGAAACCTGATTAAAAGTGACAGCAGGCTAATGATTTTCCCTCATGAAGGTTGAGGCGCTGAACTCAAGTGAAGCTTCCACATTTGTGAAAAAAACAAAAAAAACAGAGCCCTGAAAATCCCATTTTACGCCCTGAAACACTTGCGAGACATGTTTTGTTGAGAAAACACTGATCCAGGTAAGAATATGCGGTGAATTAAATGTGATGAAAGTACATAATAAAAGCCATGTAGTTGTAGTGGGATCATGTACAGAAAGGTAATCACAAGTGGAGGTAAAGGTAATGTTAAACAATCAAAAAAAACCCACATGTATAAAGATTTCCTTTTTTTTGTCATGACTTTCATCTTTTGATTGACATTATTTGTGTTTGCACAGGCTATAGGAACCATTACCTTGAGCTTTCCTATTATTTACCATGAAATAAATCACTGCAGCTTGTAGAAACTCACTTGTAACTGTAAAAAAAAACACATTTTACCATCAGAACGTGCACAAATATGAACAGAAATAGCTTCATGTTGCCTCTCTGTCGCCACCAAATCATTTCATCCGTGATGTATTTTGGTGTAAAACTGCATGTACCTCTCCCTCCCGTTTGTTCGGATGATGGACTGCTATAAATTGAGATGTGATTTGCACTGAAAGCCGTCCACGTAAACAGGCCCGAGCAGCCGACGTGTTCGCCACCTGCACTCCTGCTCCATGCAGATAAAAATGAGACAGGCGGTGTAGCAATTCAATATAATCAGTATCTGATGGACAGTTCGTCGTTTGTGGCACGCGGCTAAGAAAAGCTCCCACAGCAGAGAGAGAGAGACAAGAGCTCACACACCAGCTCGACCGTAGGTGTATATAAATATTAGAAATAAGTTTAAAAAATGCAACAATGCCTCTTTCTTTCTTAGTTTGACGATCAAGGAGTAGAATTATAGTTGTGCATTAGTCAGATTCTTCTATTCTAACGCAAGAAAATGTTTAATCAGAGCGCTAGAAGCAGCATCAGTGGTGTCTGACATGGATACCGTTAAATCTGCCATAATTAAGACATCTCTGTGCAGCTTACCGCCTTGATCTCTCAAGTGCACGCACGCTGCAGTTCTGAACCGAAAGGTAGATGGCGCCATTGTAGAGATGCAAATACTCCCAGTGCATTTAAAAAACTAAACAAAACAGAGGCTCAGCATGTGGAGGTATTTTACAATTCTACAATTTCATTTAGCTACGCTTTTATCCAAAGCGATCTGAGAGCAGAGACAACACAAGCAAGGATCCAGTCTCAATCTTGATAGGTGCCGTATTTATTAGGTGTAAACATTCATAACTGTTTGAATGAAATCTAAATCAAAGATGCTTTGAGTAAAGTTTTAACATTCATAGTACAGTAAAAAAAAAAAAAAAAGCAGTAACAGAGAACAAACCGTTACAGACACAAATGAGGACTTCTATTTGAAACTTAAGGCATGTCGTCAACTTAAACATAAACTCCTCAAACACGTCATAGCTGAGAGGTTTAGACATTTACACTATTACAGTTTTACATTTCAGTGTATAAAAGACAAAAGTATAAAAAAGAATACACAAATATACAATAATCTAAATAATTTACAGCTTATTATTCGTGACATATTCCACATATGAAACGTCTGTCTGAGTGGCTGTATTGATATGTTAACCCGGTTGTTCTCAGCTGTGACGAGAAGGAGGTCTGTCTTTGTGTAAGCCTGTAAAGTGGTTTCTCTACATTCATTTCCTTATGTCAGCTTACGTAACTAACGACATCCAATACAGTATTAAGCTAGCGACAAGACGGACTGTAACTGTTCCTGGTAGAGCCTCAGCTGCTGATCTGGGACTACAGAAGTATTTGTTATTGTGTGAGCACAGTGATCAGACTTTGTCGTTCGGTTTCTTTGTCCCCCAGAGGTGAACCCAACGAGCTACCTGAGGTGCAGTTTAACTGTACCGACTGCTGCGACTGTGGCTCCTGCGCCTGGAAGAACTGCGACTGGAGGAGCGGTACGACCTGCAGACGACAGGGATTCAGAGGAAATATGTGACTTTTTTTGTTTTGCTGGAACAGATCTTTTTCGCATCAGGAAAACAAAGGCGTGTTAGTCAGGGATGCAAACATATTTATAGTGACAAAAGTGAGACCTTTTTCATAATTAGAAATGGTAGCAACTGTTTTATTGGAGACTAGTTATCTCCATGTACTGGTAGTTCAATGATGTCCTCAGTGTCCAACAACATCACCTGATTAAAACAAACCTCAGGCTGCTTGAGTGAGTTCTAAATTAAATACTGTCACATGTTACTGTATGGAAATATAGTCATCATGAAACTACTGTTTGCCCTGAAGAAGCTCCTCCCATATTGCACAAAACCCTCATTGTTGTTGGACATTCTCAGACTCACACACCTCTCTGAACTGGCTTTGATCACTCATATGTACCAGTAATTTAGTCCTGACACTCTCTCTCATCTCTTCAGCTGCTTTGGGGGTCACTGTTGTGGGTTCTCCTTTCTCAGCAGTACTGCAACACTTTGCGTGGCAACTTCCTGCTGATGTATTTCTGTTTGACAGAGTTCAAACAGGACACTCCTGCTGCCGTACCTGCTTTATTTTGTGCATCAAGTTCGTTCTGTTCAACTGTTTTTGAACAAGTCAGAGTGGGAACATGTGCTTAACTCACTTCACCTTGACTGCGGCCTCCAGCTTGAGCTACAACTACACCTGCTGCCTGCATCCAGGTGCTGCACAAAACCTCTTTTCATCACGATCATTTATAAAACCAAAGCACAGTTAATGTATCTAAAACTGCGCTGTGTCACTTCATGTCCACACTTTTTGTGTTGCATAATGTTGCTAACATAGATTAGCTCGACCAAAGATGCTGTTGTGACTTAATGTTATTGAACTGCTGGAGCTTAACGTCGGTCAGTGTGATGGAACATTGTTTTTATTTGAATGAATGAGACAGGAACCCCCATGTTCCTGCCACATGGTTTAAGGGCTAAATGGGATCTGTTTCTTTTTTTTTTTCTTTTACTGATGGAGTCTACGGCGGAGTACAACAACATTATAAGTGGAAGTGTTAATCTCTGTGATCTCACTGCTACAAATGAAGCTGAAGGTAAGAGCAGGTGATCTTTGTGAGGTTAAACTCAAAGTGCTGCAGTGACTCTGATTCTTTAACAGGTGCCGCCAGGTGAGCAGATATATTTACTAAAATCAGCACAACACAAGGAACTTTACTGACAGACGGAGCAGATACACTACTGACAGAAATACACTTTATGAACCATTGATTCAGTAAAAACAACAACAAAACGCTTCAGATCTGGATGATTACCCAAACTATAACTTTTTTTTACAAAAAATCAGGAGCCAAGGGAGCTATCAAAGTCTCAAAGAATCATAGAAAGCAAAAATGCTGCATTCCAGCAAGTTATGGTAGTCATGGTTTGGGCTTGTTTTGCTGCGTCTGGGCCAGGACAGTTCACCAGCACTGATTCAACAATGAATTCTAAGGACATCAGTCCATGAAGTGAATGAGGCTCACGCAGCAAGACCATGACTGTAGACACAGAAGTTGTTCTACTAAAAAATAATTACCAGAAATCCAATAAAAATGTTGTGGAAGGACCTGAAGTGAGTAGTTTATGTGCAAAACCCCACCAACATCCCAGAGTTGAAGCTGTTCTGTGTGCACAGCAAATTCCTCCAAGTCGGTCTGCAGGACTGATCAACAGTTATCAGAAATGTTTATCTGCACAAGTGGGCAAAACCACACACTGGAAGCTACGGTTTATTTACAGATATGCAACACTGGATCAGTTTCTTCAAGAAATAAATGAACAAGAACAATATTTTTGCCTCATTTGGTTAGTTTATCTACTTTTAGGTCGTGTTTATGCAGAAATGTTAAAAATTCTAAAGTAGTTCAATCGTCCTCAAGAGGTCAAGGAAAGGTGTCGACATATTGAACCGAAATGCCTGCTATGATAAGAGTTCTAGTAAAGAGATTATGATGTGCAGTATGTAGACAGTGGACTTCAACTTTGTGGAATTGTAGTAGAAGAAAATGCCCACAGAGAAAACATGGAAGTGAAGGAAGTAACAGCACATGTAAGTGTCCCTCTTCGTGTCAAACTACAATCTACCATTTTGCCACAGGACGGAAAGAACCGAGAGGGTAAGAAGGTTTGCGCCGAGACCTGCCAGCGTTGTTACTGTCTGTCAGGGTTCGCCGGGGAGCAGCGAGACTTACCGGGATCGGCGATCTGAGCTCCTGTAGCTGTCACTTCGTCTGCGCCCTCGTCTCCTGCTCACACTCCGACTCCGACTGGAGTAGCTGTCGTAGGAGTCTGACCTGCATTAACACGCAGCCAGATGACAACAGAAATATTATTCTGGGAACACTTACAGAATGGTGTCAACGTGATCTGCCGAGTAGAGACATGGAGAGATATTCTACAAAATAGAGCATAGAGCTGGCATGTAGAACCTATTGCAGACTTAAACTGCAAATAAGCAAATAAAGCTCCAATGATCCACATGCTAAATTAAATTTTTAGTAAGAAATAGAATGCAATTTTCCATCTGTTTCAGGAATATACTGACCAAAATACTGAAATACGATGAAAAAGGAATACAACTTAGCACTCCACAATGATATAGAACAATAAATCCTAGTACTTGTTTTATTAAATTAATGCTACCTTGACTGAGAAAGACACCATAACATAGTTAAGTAGATTAATGAATGAAAAATGACTGAATCATTTCATTTAAGGCTTGTTTATTATCAGTCACTGTTGAAACAATGCCACATTTTAAAGTGTCTCCTGCTGGCTGGCAGATAGAAAACGTAACGCCTAAAGCTTTTACCAGAAAATACAAAGACTTTTTAGTGTCAAACACAATTTCTTGTAAGGTCTTTTTCCGAGGAAGCTTCATTCGAGACTTTTCAAAACCTGCATACACTGTGCTTTGGCCCTCATCTGCTTATCAGAATAATCTTATCAGTCTCTTATCAATCTTTCCCTTCTTCAAGCAATTATCTTTTCAAGGCTGCAAGTATTATTTTAATTGTTGATTTATCTGCAGATGTTTTTTCCCCCCAAAATCAATAAATTAATCTTTTGGCCTTTAAAATGTTCAAAAAAGCGTTTCCCAACACTATTTTCAAAAGCCCTTTTTTTTAAAAATTATTATTTTATTTTGTCTGACAACAGTCCAGACCTCACTGTTGCTCATTTTACTGTCACATAAGACAAGGAGCTCTTCACAGCTGAGAAGCTTTAAGTAATTATTGTTCAGGATTTTGCTTGGAAAATTACCAAACTCTCTGAATTAATTTTCTGTCAAATGACTAATTGAGTAGTCAACTGGAGCCTTTTTGTTCCTGATGTGCATTGCTCTGTGTCTTGTTTCCCTGCCGTCACACAGGCCAAGAAATATTCCTCTAAACCTCCTGCCTATGATGGAAACTGACAGGTGTATGAATATTATTCCAACACTCGCAAACAATACTTGTGCAGTCTATTCCTAATTTGGTTGTGATTCAGTTAAAAATTAAACTGCGGTGTTTGTTTTAATCTCAGTGCACTTCATGTACAACAGTGTTTACATCTAAGCTGTTCAACGATCCTTTACATAAGCAATTAAAAGAACATTTCCAAATCTGAGCCAGGAGACGCACAGACCTGGACCTCCTTCGCCGATTATACGAGTGACTTCTGGAATGACTTCTGCTGTACGTCCGACTGATGGAAGGAAAAAAAAAAGACACACAGAACATTAATTACTGATTGTAAAACACACAAATGAAAAACATCATGTAAGTCCACCCTTTAGCTGCCCCATTGGATTATAAATTGGTGATCCAGGGCGTACCTGTGACTCCTGTAACTTCGATATGTGCTGCTGCGAGAGCGAGATCGTCCTCTCCCCCTTCTCCTGTGACTCCTGCTGCGGCTCCTAAAAGAAAGACGTTGTTATAAATTATACTTCGCCCGAGCCTGAACAAAGGGTGTGCATCGCAGACACAGACTTGGCACCTACACTAAATGCTTCACATCCATCAAATTTATCACTTCGCAACCGTCTTGACGTATGTCCAAGAGCCTTTTCTACTATTAGAAAGATTTACTGATGGTGCCTTCATGCTCCTTTCGTACTTAATCAATGGGCCTTCTGTTTCTCATACCTGGAGGAGTAGCTGGAGCTGCGGGATCTACTTCTGGACCTGCTGTAGGAGTGCGACCAGCCTCTGGAGCGTGACCGGTGACTGGAAACCGAGCGAGACTTTCTGGAGACAGACCTGGACTTCTTTGTGGACCGTGTGCGTGATGCTCCCCTGGTCTTTCCCGCGGAGGGGGACCTCTCCTCGCTTGAGCTCTCCTGGTTTCTTGGCCTCTGGTTGAGCCGCGCAGTCTTGCGAACCTCATCGAACAGAGACCCCGGTCGGACCCGGCTCTTACTTTTTATCTCCATTCTCACTCCTTGTGCGTTGAGGTTCTGGCTCTCTTGACTTTGGATGTTTTTTATGGTGACAGGTGGCAAGCTCACATTCTGTAGAGCTGACATTCCTTTCAATGGCCTCCATTTCAAGTTAATTACGGCGGCAGTAGGTTTGCCAGCGGTTGCTTCATCTTGCAGTCTACCAGCTGTTGTTGTGGAAGTAACAGCAGACTGTTCCGTGCTTTGAGATAGAGCGCTATCATTACGTGCCATATCTGAAGCCTTTGAGGTAGATTTTAGGTTTAAATCAGAATCATGTGTGTCTTGAGGTCCAACAATTTCAGCGTCATGCTCCGGGGTACAAATATCCATGTCATCCAATGACTCTTGCTCTTTGATACTCGACAAGTGAGAACTGCTGTTCCTGTTGGATGACTCTTGATTAGATACAGTGTGTTTTGCATTTTTGTTGATGTAATCTCTTGCCCTCTGGTGTCTCCTTTCTACTTCTTTAGCAGGATTCCTGTGTAAACAGGCTAAATCTTGGTCACTTTCATTCCTGCTATCTACACCAAGATGTCCTTTAACAACTCTATTAGGGCTGTGTCTCTCTCTTTTGGATTCATCTTCTTCCTCCTCCTCTCCAAACTCTAAAGGTGGCTGCCAGTGAAAAGTCTCCTTCAGCTTCTGATGTTTTCTCTTCGATTTCTTGCCTTTATCCTTACTGTGACGAGAACTGGTTTTATTCTCACCTCTCCTCTTGCGTTTATGCTTACGTTTGGCCTTCTTCTTACTCTTGTGTTTCTCTGGCTCTGCGGGCTTCTCAGGTCTTTCCTCTGACTGACTAGTGACTGCTGGAACATTTGCTGCCTCTGATGCCTTTCTGGAAGTCTCGTAATCCGATTCTGAACTGGCCTCCCCTTCTTCTTTTTCAGATATGGCTAATGTTTTGCCCGTTATATTTTCAGAATCACTTTCTGAATTCCATCCAGTACCAGCGGACACCTTCTTGTCAAGACTTCCAGTGGACTGAGCAGCTTGTTTCTGCTTTTTTAACGGAACAGCACTGTTGCTTTGGCTCACTTTATCACTGTCACTATCCCATTCGGACCTGCTGTTAAAGCTCTCGGCTGGCACTGAACTACACTGTTTTGTCTCAGGATCCCATGAGCTGCCTTTCTCTTTTGCTTTCTCCATAGAATCACTTCTCCTTGAGACACTGATATCAGGACTACGCTCACTGCCTGTCCTGTTCTCCGTTGCTGAGCAAATGTCTTCACTGCAGGCGAGTGAAATGTACTTATCTAAATTTTTTATCCTCTTCAGAGAACTGTAGTACGCTTTCCATTCCTTGTCTAATGAATTCTTCTTGTTGCTACTTGTTTTCTGAGAGTTTTCAGAGTCTGATCTGCTGTAGGAGGATGACCTGCTCTTGTACCGATGAGCAGACCGGGACCTGGACCTGCTGTAACTTCTACTCCTTGAACGACTGTATGAACGGCTGTAGGACCTGCTTCTGGACCTGCTCCGTGAGCACAGTGCAGCTTTGTGTGCTTTGCTGCTTTCAGAATCAGCTGGCAGAGCCTTTGGTGTACCTGAAGTCTGAGCTTTTTCTGTAACACCATCAACTGCTGGTCCAGTGGAGGAAATGATACTGGGAGCTACTTTAGCTTTAATTTCCTGAATATGGATGTAGGAGGGCTTCCAGGGTTTCTGTCCTGGCTTCCAGCGCGAGGGAGGAGGACTGTCGCTCAGAGGGATGACAGGGACACTTTCAGGAGCTGGGACAGTTGGCAGTCTGGGGACAGGTGTAACTTTGCTCTCTGGAAGCTTCTCAGGCACATGGCTCATGACGTCTGATTTAGGCTTGCTCGTTTTTCTCTTCTTTGGAGATCTAGATAAACTCCTTTTCCTGGATGGTGACAAAGATCTTGATCTTGATCTGTACCTGGACCTTGACCTTGACCTGGATCTTGACCGGGATTGAGAATAAGAGTGAGATCTAGATCTAGAAAAAGATCGACTTCTAGACCGAGAGAGGCTTCTGGATCTCGAGTAGGACCTGGACCTCCCTCGAGATCTGGACTGACTGGATGTGTAGGACCTAGAGTAGGATCGTGAGTCTCTAAAAGACGGGGAGGACCGCCGTCTCCTCCTGGCTGATGAATGATGCAGACTCGAAGAAGAGCGAGTTGGAGAACGGGACCTTCTAGACTTAATTCCTGAAGACACTGACCTTTCACCATCTGTAAGGTAAGATTCTGGATGTTTGCTCTTAGAGCTCTTCTTCTTGGCCTTCTTTTTGTGTTTGGATTTCTTCTTGTGTTTGGCTTTCTTCTTGTCTTTTTTCTGTTGCCGATGCTGGCTGGATCTCTCAGAGCTGCGGTCTGATGAGTGTTCAGCAGACCGGGACCATGCAGAGTCACTTCTGTTGTCCCATCTGCTTGAGGAATGGTCATTCAATCTGTTAAGTCAAAAGATGCATGAAGGGAAAAAAAAAAGAAGGAAAAACTGGTATCTAAAGTTAGGAAGTGAAACATGAAGTCATACTTGTCTCCTTTGCTCCACTTCTCCATGCTGGGGGGTTGATAAATGTGAGTTCTCTTCATTTCTTCCTTCCAGTGTGGCGGAGTTTCACTGCTTCCACGCTCCTCCACAGATGCAGAGCGTGATTTAGACCTTGTGGGAGTGTGATATCTCTGCACAAATAAAAATAAAGGACTGGTTTGTCACTAGTTGCACAGGAGTTTTGATGGCAAAATCCTTACGACATTTGAATAAAAAAACCTAAGATTAGAGGGAAGTCTGAAACAACAGGCATAAGATTGAGCAACAGATTTTTTTTTGCTGCCATTCTTGTTAATCCTCTTGTGACCCACCAGATTTTTCTTGTTATCCAAATTTGGGAACCCAAGCTTTAAAGTATTTACTTCTGTGACAAGCTTGTAAAAACTGGTTGTTTTTTTGAATCTAATTTTATCTTAGTTGAGGTGGGCTTACAATCGTTCCTCTGCCTTTTATCTTCCGTCCGGACTTTGACACTGCTGGTTTCTGGTCAGCTGAAACGGTTACTTCTTCCTTCTCAATTCTGAAAAGAACACATTTGAAAAGATCAGATTTCAGCTACTACCTACAGTTACTGCTTAGGCGTATGCTGTTCAATGTGTATGCAAACTATATTCCTTGAAACACCATATAAAAACTGACATTTCTGTTTTATCTTCCTGAGTTGGCATGTCCCGTCGCAGCAGGAAGCGATTCTCTGGCACTGGTGGGATTTCCTCTGGCCGAACAACGGGCTTCTCTCTCTTGCCACCCTGCTCCTTCTCTTCTTCTATTTCATTCTCTCCCTCCAGCATCTCTCTCTCCACAGGACTGGGAGCGCAGTAACAGCACGGCACAATGCAAAACATTATTTTGTTATGCAAAATACCATCCCTTAGCTCTTAAAGCTGAAAGTGAGTCATGCCAGTACTTCTATTTATATGGATTAACTGGATGAAAACTGTGATGGCACACAATATGATACATGTGAGTATTTATATAAGTATGTGAAAATGTGACCATGAATGAGGATGAAAATTACCTTTGCTTTGAAGGCAAAACATCTACGTTCTTCTCCTTCTTTGATTCCCTTCTTTTCTTTTTAGACCGTTTACTTTTTGCATGTCTCTTGTGCTTGTGATGTTTGTGCTTTTCATCTGATTCACTTTCAGACTCCATTGAAGAGGACAACTGAGACGACGAGTCATGGGAATTGAGGGACGAGTCAGCAGAATGGGAGGCTCTTTTCCTTTTGCCTTCAAGCACTGGAGGAAGAAACACAACAGAATATATGTTACTACATTAAATTTTGCTTATATTTAAGAAAACTGAACTGGTATATTCAGTGAAACTGAAGGATGAGGGAAAGTTCAAATGCCAGAAGTGATTTTCAGGGTGGTATGACTCTACTACAACAGAGGCTTTGTTTGATTCTTCCCGGTATGTTGGAGGCGATGAAAGCCGGCCTGGCAGAGTCAGGTGGGCTGAAGCCAACTGAACTCCACAGAGATCACCTCGCTGATCCTCATTAAACAGAAGATCAGGTTACACGCCCCGCTAATGCCAGTGGGGGGGAAACTCTGGCATCCAAATGCCAACCTCCTCCAGAATGAGGCCAAAATACGACAATCACAGGTTACAATCACAGGTAACACATTATTCCCCACCAGAAACAAAAACAAAAGAGAGGGAAGATGTAACCTTTTGTACAAATCACTGAAACCCAATGGAAGAAATCTATTTAAGTTTTCAACTATAAGAAATATGAGTTCCATTACACTCTTGCTCTCCTGGTTGGGTGGTAATACATCAAATCTTCAACAAACAGGTGAGAATTTGATACAGTGCATCAGAATTTAAAGGAGACATCTGCTGATATTCTATACTTTCTTGTGAAAAAATCTTAAAGATCAAAACAAAAAAATTGTACTGCTCCTACTAATAAACACTGTCCAATCCCCTGCGTCATACACCTGCATCATTGTCCAAAACCTATTAAATACTCCAATAACACAGACTGTCTATATTTTTAGTTAAAAATAGTCCCCAACAAATGCACCGTTTACTCCTGTATGAACAACCTGTTAAAAGCTACAGCACCACTCTGTCTTAGAAGAGTCATCAGGCTTTTTAAAGACAGAACTCTAACCCTCACCTTTGAGAGAAAGTAGATTTGTTGCTGTACTTACCATCATTTGCGGACTTTGTGATCAGCTGTCCACAGTCCATCACTCTCACATCAGCGTAGGGTCTGCTAGCTGAATCAGTCTTCAGTCCCTCAATCTTCTTTATCACTTCAAAGCCGGAGATGACTAGACCAAAGACAACGTGGACTCTGCACAGAAACAACAGAGGAGACTTACTCCTGTAACAACTACACTTAACCTTTAAAGGCCCTGAAATTACATTTTCCCTCGATCAAATTCTTGCTATGAGAGAAGATATGCGACATGGACATATCATTTTTAACCAAAGTTAGGACATTTGTAGTTGTCGGCTTGACAGCTCTCCAACATATACTGTACTAAATATCATATCTTATCTAATACTTTTCAACACTCGCTTTTAAATGTGACTTTGTCAAACCTACCCATCAAGATGAGGCGCCATCTTAGTTGTGCTGTTTATGGATAATCCAGCAGTAAGACAGGAGAGGAGGCAACCAGTGGCAGTGGTGGTGTCATGAAAAGAGGAAAAATGAGGAAAGGAATGAGAATAAACAAATAACTTTGACAAAGTGTGCGTGCTACTGTACCACAGGGGTAATCTCAAAGAAAAAGGTACAGAATTTGTAAGACCACCCTTTGTTTAATAATATTGGACTGTAAATCAACTTTGAAAACACTTTACCTTTAGAAATAAAAATAACAACAAAGTGTGGGCAAATATATCATTAGAGTTTTGTGTAATCAAATCAATTCATACAAAGAAAGGCCTCCTTTATGTTTCAAGATAGTATTATTCATGGAGGACATTTCAAATTTATGGTGACAACCTGTTTTAGTGATGAAGGAAGTCTACCAAATAACAAGAGTCACCTCAAGCCATTTGTAAAATGTAAAAGCATATCCAAAATACACACTGTACTGAGCAGAATGTTTACAGATACAATCTACTAAATGATTAATACAGTCAGGAGAGAGAGAAACACAGCCTTTGAGACACATTACCTTGGAAGAGCAGGATGCTAGAGTTTCTGTAAATTTTACACAAAAACGGCAAGAGAAAAAATGTAACACATTTGTAGGTAAAAAAGAATGAATCCAATGTTTCTCTGCATTTTGAAATCTAACTGCACACAGAGAGGGGACTGGTGATGGTCAATGACAGATTCTACTCTACATTTTCAAAACAGAAAAAGGGACAGAAAGCAAAAACTCAAACAAAACTGTATTAGGAATGACAGTTAAATAGTATGGTTATGCAAGTTGCAAAAAAGAATTGCTTTACGGAAAGTTACTCACATGAAAAACTGTGAACCGTTTGTGTCTTTCCCACGATTGGCCATCGACAATAGGAAGGCTCTGTCATGTTTGAGAGTGAAGTTCTCATCTGTCGGAAGCAGAGAAAGAGGGATCAAAGTCTAAGAGTGTGTCCTCCTATGAGTGTAAATGGAAATATTCAAGGGGGGAAAAAAGATTCTGCTTAATCATCCATTAAACCTTTTCTCTGTCCCACCAACCTACCCTTCCATTAAGTCAGCAGTTTGTGAAGGTTTTTGTTATCAAGTTTTACTCTATTCCTTTTCTTAAGCACCAAACCAATGGGTCAGTATGTTTAAAGCTAACGACTACAACACACTTACATTTTCAGATCATTTTTCAAAGAATACCATACTGATTTATGGCCTTTTTATGAATGCACAGGGATCCACTTGCTTACACATCAAATAGCCTGACTGCAATACGTAATCTATCAAAAGGAGCATTTAATCATCCCTTTCTAGTCAAAGTTATAATTTTGAGAAGGAAAATGAGCAGGAATCATCCAGTAGGTTCATTTCAGGGCTCCAGAAGCACACTAAATCTGGTTTATAAAAGGAACAGTAACCAAATAGATTAGCTCTTGATTGTAAGGCGATCAAGAATCAAGTCTGCAAGACTTCTTTAGATAGAACAGGGAAGAAAGCGGGTGATGCTGTTCAATGAGGGAACATGTCAGTCATATCTAAATATGACAAAACACACGTTGTTCTTGAGTTCATCACCAGGGACAGATTTGTAACTTTTGTGCCCTAAAGTGTTTGAAAGTTGGAGGACGACCGATTATCAGAACGGTCCCTGCTTACAGTGACATGACTTTGAAAAGAATTGTGGGTGGTAAAACCGTGATTAGGATAGCTATCTAAAGCAAGTTTCAAGACTCAGCAGCAGAATTTTAAAGCATGCCAAAATGATTGAAAGTCGATAGGACATTCATCTAGAAATGTCTAGAATGCTTTGGAAAAAAAGGTCCACAAAGATGTTGAGTGTAAGAATTTTAGCAGAATAAAGTATGTAAAAACACAAGGATGATCTTCAGACTGAAAAACAAATACCTGAGCATATCTTAGCAGTCAATAGACCATACACAGTATAAAAGTGCCTAAAGATTTCAGTAAAACAATGGAATAGCATCAACATGCTATTTGCATGTATTAAAGCTATGCTTTCCAATGCCCACATCTTTGTTTCACTAGATCTACATATTCTACATCCATGTTGCAAGTCTAAATATATAATTTCCACTGTGGTACATGATATAGTCCTACTGATGAACAACACCACCAGTCCATATCTGACTGCACTTCATGCTAGTGTCATGTGGTCATGTTTATGATACTGCAGCTATAAATACCACATATCGAACACAAAAAGTTATTTGAGCAGCCAAAGGGGACTAACAGGGTAGCTGCGTGAATGGAAAAACCCTTCAGCACAAACGTGCATCTGCACCGTTGCACTGCTTTAACTGACGGAGGAAGGTGGTGGGGACGATGTTGACATGGTGTTACTGAGCTGTGTACATCTCTTACCTTCTCATTTTGCAAAAGACCACTCTATAAATAAAAGAATATGTTGAAAATTTTAGGCAGGAAGATTGTAGCTTTCAGTAAAGAGAATTCCTACCCTCCATGCTGATTTGATAAAGCCCACTACTGTTACTGAATAGAAGACAGCACTATACAATGGAAGGTCAACTGAGTCATACATAGGAAAAAAAAAATCACAAGAAACCCACATTAACAACAATAGGCACATGCAACATAATGGTCATGCAAAGTATTTTAGTGCTTGGAGAGACAATTTATGCATCAGTGTAGACTGCTTATTAGATGGCTTGATAACCCAATTACCTTCAAAGTAGCCGCCATATATGGACTCGCCTCCTCTTCCATTTCCTGCAGAGATTAACACAAATTGAAGTCCAGCTTCCATATACTAAATTATATTTGTTTGTGCACACTGCATCACATTACAGAAAAGGTCCCGTCTTATCAGCATTTCTGACTAAATGAAACAGAAATGGCTCATGTGTGTTTATGGGTTCCAATTTTGAGAAAACAGTGCAGTCTCTTGGATTCCTGCCATAAACACCCACAACAAAGCCACAGTGCATGTTAATAGCTTTTTAAATTTGTCTGGCCTTCTCAATTCTGGTTGTAATTGATGCCATTAATTGTAAGCTGTGAAACCCTGCAAAGCATCATCATTATCGGAAAACATTTTCTACCTTGACAGCATTAAATCCTACATGAAAACAAGCCAAATCACAGCCTATTCTGCAACAGCTGCGTGTTGCTCTGTTGCTTTTCATTGGATTTTATGCAAAAAATGAAAGCAGCAGCTTGATAAGAGGTGGAATGATATAAATAGAAACTGACTAAACTTCATTCAGTCATGATTTAACATACATTTGGAATGTAGATCAGTTTCGATGATGTTACCTTCGGTGAAGTCGCCTCCCTGAATCATAAAGTTTTTTACAACTCGGTGAAATGTGGAGCCTTTGTAGCACAGCTTTTTCCCTGTGATTTTCCCAGTTCCCCTTTCACCTGCAATTACATGTATGTTAACAGAGCTCTCATCAAAACATTCAGCAAACATACGACTGTACAGAGTGCTTCTGTGTGTGCTAGATGCTAAACGTGGGTCTTGAAGTTGCCACATGGGGTTTATTCTGAGCAAAGGCATGAAAATCACACTTTGGGTGGCGTGGGGGTGGGGGGGGGGTCAGTAAACTGTATGCCTCTGGTCAGGCATCCTGTTGTTAACACTCCTTTGCAGGGCTGGAGAATTCATTAATAATTTTCCATTGGACTGATACTGACTGGGGACAGAATGTCGGTGGAAAGCTATTACCTCCTGGAATCCCCTTTCCCCTGGGGTTAAAAGGAGTCGCAAAGGCAGAGATTTAATTAGATGTGTTGATGTGTTTAAGCTTGATTTCAGCAGAAAGAAGGCTGGCTTGTTCAAATCAGCAGCTTAGGTTGCTAATCTTGAAGTATTTTGCCCCAATGACTTCAGCATTGTTCCAAGGGTTTGTGTTCCCATGGTGTGAGCCGATCTCGGTTTAAAAGGACACATTTGAAATTTGCAGCAAACTGCACTGACTGAATGATGTGTGTTAATGTTGTGTTGTTCGTGTGTGCGTTTGTATGTTCAGAAACAGACCAACCAGCCATCTCCCGTGTCTGCCCTCGCCAGCATCACGTTACCATCGGCCAGGTGGAGTGAAAAATGAGAGGGAGGATTGATCTGCTGCCTGTTTGCAGATTTATGGGTATCTCTGGGCAGACCACTGCTACCACAGTACACTCTGCGCTGTTTCGTGGGATGAAATATCGAGGGAGAAAGACCAGGACCCCTTTACCCACCTAGTGACTCCATCTGTCACTGGACCATTTACAGCGCAGCCACACTCCATTCCTCAGCATATTAAATGTCCAAACACGGGGGTGGAGTGAGGTAGTGTTTCTCCTGCTTTCACTTTATTTACCTTCTTTATCACCTCACTGTTATCATATTGTTGTAAACAGAGGTACCTTGACAACCATCTTGTAATGGAAAAATCATAAATATAGCAAACAACTGTTCAGTTCCACTCCTGACATGACAAACAGACCAGCTATCAGTATTTTTTAACTAAAATATTTCATCATACAATGCTGTACATTTTGCAAAAGCATGATGTGTAAGTGGAGCACATCCTTAACTGAACATTACTCACCAGTACACAAACAGAGAAAGTTTTTGCTTGTCTTGGGACAAATATCCGAGAAAAGTTGAAAGACTATGCGTCCAACTAAATAAAAAATACAAAAGAGAAAAAAAAACATTAAGAAGAATCACTCCCCCTTGCTGCTACAGAACATTAGAAATGTTTAAAGGACGTACAGGACATATCCAATATTAGCTGTGTGTTGCAAAAAGAAACAGTTAATGGGGAATAATCTTTAATAGGGCAGGGATACAATTAAGAACTGAAATTAAGCAGCTTAAGTGTTACTGCGCTGTACACTTTTAATTGGCTTCCTGTGCATAATTACAAGAATCCTGCGGTGAAGCTCAGACGCTATAGGAACTTTTCCATAGCTAGTAGCAATTCTGATGCTATTCTTACAAGTGTGAAGGGGAGCTGCTTTGTCCCTCCCAGCCCAACTAGGAGCCACATACCATTTCCCAGTCCGTCTTTACATTCACATCATTTGTAAATGGTTCTCACTCAAACTATGCATAATTCTAAAAGATTCTCAAAGTTAAACCTCAAAATAATGCTTTAGCACAGATTTGGCTGATGCCAAATCGGTCCACCAATTCACTGTTGGTTGTCCTACTTTCATTTTGTACAAGCAAATGAATATCAATCAAAGGCTCCACAGCTACAAAAACAAACCACAGAAATAAAATGCAAACACAGTTTTTGATGCTATCAGTCCATGAAAGGGAGGTGAGAATGTTTACATGACTAACTAACCCTCCCACCTGTAAATTGATTTAAAAAAAAAAAATAAATCCCTTACCTGGCTCCCGGTTGAGTTCCACATCAAAGTAACACTGAGGGCGGTCTTTCACCCCCATTGTGATCAAAGTCTGGGTGACCTAAAATATAGAAAGAGTAGAGAAAAAGCGGTTTATACGTCAGGTTGAAAGTAGAAAGAGGCAGCATATTCAGAGGAGTGTGTAGAAGCACGATGTAGAGGCGAGAGGGAGGAAGAAAGGGAAAGGGGGAGGAGAGAAGGATGGGAGGAGAGAGAGAGAAATCTGTGGGGAATTGTACTGGCTATGCAAAACCAAACCTACAACCCCCCTTGCTGTACATTTTTAACTCCGTTAGTTGGACATCAGGGTGTCAGAGCTTACAAAGACTAAAATATCACAGCAGCTACTGAGCCTGATCAATGACATGAAATTGGGAACAGACAGAAATTTATCATCCAAGCGTGTCGGCAGTCATTTGGTTGGAACATGTTTGATTTTCAATATGTAGACAAACTACCAATGACAACAAAACACTATCAATAACAATACCCCAATGTTTTTTTTTTTATTATCAAACCTAAATAAATGTTTAACAAAACTCTTTTTTTGTTTAATGTGAGTGTTTCTCTAATTTTAAGCACAGAAGCTGAATAACACAATGTTTTCAGTTTATGCACACACACACAAAAGTATGCCACGACACTATTCCTACTGATAACTGAAGTGCATGGAAATGATGACGGTGATGGAGATGATCTGGTCTGTCAGGAGTTTGTGTGGGTGAGTCTCATACTCGGTTAAATGAAATACTGGCTAACTTGTCAGCTTCATTAGTAATGAAACTGCTACATCACCAGGAAGCAGAATGTGTCAGCAATTTACCAATAATATCTGAATTTGTTACTACTTTCTTCTCTCAGGTTGCATGACATGTGCTAAATATTTTTGCTAGAACAAAAACTGTGCAAGCATATAACAACTCTCAGCTATCATGGTGCATACATGTGTTTGGGAAAGGGGAGTGTTTTGCATAGATAGTCTCACAAGAGGAGTAAAAGAATTACTGCACTCAACGTCACTTTAAACCACTTAAAGCAGCTCATCACGAGAGAAAAAACATGCAGCTTTCTCTTAATGAAAACACTGATGGAACATTAATAATGTAACGCAAAATAGTGTGCTCTGAACGGTGTGGGGAGGCTGTAAGGAAGACAGTATATATCTGCAACCTAACTTAGTAACAGCTGCCTATGTGCATCTGTTATCAGGCTGTCCGTTCTCATACGATGACAGATTTACTTCTGCAAGTTTCTGTTCATGCACGAGCGGGTCTTTGAAGTAACCAGCACAAACAACACTTAGTGGGCATTGAAGGACGACAGGAACAACACACTGAGAAAACTTTGATCTGGAGAGTAAATTACAAGCTCAGTCAGCCAAGTAACTTAATTTACACTTGAATTCCATATGTTAAGTGCTGCCACACACTTTATTACACCTGTGATTTTCCAAATATTTGGTAGCTGCATTGTAAGCAAATGAGCGAACGGTAACAGAGTCATTGGTGTAGTTCATATCTTATTGCATAGGTAATAAAAGACAGTGTACTCACAAATCTGACCAATACAAACTGGAAGTGATCGTGCTGAGTGTCGACAGCAGCTTATAGGCCCCAACACCTCAGCTAAAGTTACCGACCCAAAAACAGAGCCGCATTGTATTCATAGCAGGAGTCATATCATGTTACTAAGTTTGATTTACTGGGAATAGCTTTGTCAGATTGTAAATCTTCTCAGCTAAATATAGACAGTCGACTTGAACTTCAGGAGAACTCCCACCACGATAGTGTTGCCGAGAATTTTAGAGCATTTAGCTATTTAATTGGATCAATAAGCTGTGTTATGAGCCAAATGTCCTCCTGTACATGTCACGCAGACTAAACCGACTAATCAGAGGAGACTCCAATGCAACTAAGGTATCCGAGTACAAGTGAAAAAAGAATGATGGGTTTAAAGAGTTTGCGTAGGAGCAGCCAGTTCGGTGTGTGATCAAACATCAGAGAGCACAAAATACACAATTTGTGCCTTTGGTTTATTTAGGCACATTCTCAAAATGTTAAAAGGAGCTGAAGTTTAGTTTGTTGCTTCAGGCTGTTAGTCTTTCTTCTTAATTTTTTTTATTTACATATTTACATCATCAGACAGAAACAGAATCCATATTATGTCTCCAAAGAGGGCATTTTGTGTTGCATTTACGCACAACACAACACAACACAACACAGCGGTGACTTCATTAATGATTTATAAGTAATTCCTGACATGGTGACAGGATCGATCAGGATCTAACAGTAAATGACACTGTGTACTGTTGTTCACCTCACACACAGAGACACGGTTTGTAAGCTACGGTTAAACCAGCAGAATATTATTTTACTGTAAAAGCCTGAAGTAAAGGTCAAAAGGTTTCTAAACACTAAAGCAATGCGCAAATAAAGGCAACAGGTAGAGAAGTACCATTGAAAATACATTTTTATTGTATTGTAGGCTGTTGTAGTTGGATAAATTATCATAACAAGTGGACAGATTTTTTCAATATTAAAATCATAGGTATCTTATGGAAGTGCTGGGTGAATTTTTTCTAATAAAATGCACTGCAGCATCTCCTCTCCTGAACCATTTTGAATAGTGTTCACCCTAGTAACCAAAATATAAATTGTACCTGTGTTAAAATACGTGCATCAGATAATAAAGAACCTTCACTGTATAATATGTGATTTCTACTTCAACAGCCTAACAAAATTCCATACAGTTATTTTATTTTAGTCATGGTTTTTATGTGTCACCCCAAAATTTTCAGTGGCCTGCTACCCCTATGAATTCTATTTTGTGGGTGCCCCTGTAACTAACAAGCTGAATAAACTATATAAAAGCCATGCAACGTTTAAAACAAATTAAATAAATAAACGCACTGGACCACAGGTGCTGTCAGTCCAAACTGCTCATCACCTGAGTTGACAAATTATCAGCTCACGAATGTCCTCATTCACGACTTGTATAACGTTAGCTGGCATGACACACATTTTACTGGTAGCTCGGTTTAGTCTGAAACCGAGTTAACGTGACGTGTAGGTTCAAGCTGTGCTAAAAGCAACAACACAACAGCAAAATTTCCATTAGCCTCAAAGCTAACAACAGCTACGTTAGCGCCTCCTAAAAAATGGGTGCGCTAACAGCTAGCTAAAGTTAGCTTGAGCAGCTTGTATTCCTCTCTGTTGCAGCGACTATTAGCATGTAAGGTGACATTGAAAAGCATACTACAGGTTCTCAAAAAATGCACGTTAAACAACTTACCTCTGTACAGTAGCTAGCCAGATAATGAGCTAGTCACTGACGGTCGCAATTAGCATGAGCTAACTTCCCTTTTTAGTGATGAGGGTTGCTGCGCTGGTCTCCGGTAGTTTTGTCCCTCCCGAGCTACCGTAGGAGATTTGTTGTGGTTTTGTTGTATCAGGAAGCAGGTTTCAAGTTAGCTCGCTGCATAATTCTGACCGCACCACTTATCTATATATTATAACCAGCTATTTAGGTTCTCCTTATTAATAGTTGTTAGCACTTGTAACGTTTATCTGAAGCTGGGACTGGCTTCCTGCTGCCGGTTCACTGCTTTGAAATGATGCTATAGTCAGCTAACCTGCAGTAGCTTGTTAACAAGGTGCAGCATGAAACCCCTGATAATGAGGTAAGATGTGACAAGATGTTACTACGTGTGTTTAATTTACCTTAAACTGAGAGGTGCCAGGTTTCCAAGTGGGCTTGAACTAAGGATAATTAACAGACTGCACGCTTTTCAGACCTACGCAGTTAATATATTTAGTTGCCAGTCTGTTGGACAACAGCTGCAACTAATCCAGCCTTAAAAAGCAACGCCATGACGTTCAGTTTTTTACGTTAGAGAGGAGTTAATTGTAATTTTGGAGACTGTGCTGCCGGATTGTACACGTTTACTGAAAGGTGTTTGTATAATTTGGTGAATTTATCAGACTGTTTGTCCACAATTAAAGTTATCCATACCTCACTGACTGCAATACTATCTGGACTTCCATTATTCAATTAACTTTATTGACACCTTGTACATTAGTTCTGTTGATTGGTTCTAACTAATGCCTAACTAGTGTATATATTGGTAAAACTGCCTGGAAAGGGATGATTCAAGATGATAATGATGGTAAAACTGTCTGTGGAGGGATCTCAGTACTGCGTTATAAATACCTGATAAGTGGTGTCATGGCCTTCCTCCTCTGTTCAGAGATGGCTGCTCCAGTTTATTCTAAAGGATCTGAAGGATAACAGAGCAGAGTTACAGAAGTTATCCATGTTAAACTGGATCAGCTCTATCAGAACAGAGCAGGGGCTCCACAACACCACTTATCAGGTACTTACGATGCAGTTCTGAGATCCCTCTGCTGACAGTTTCACCACCTTAACACCTGAAGTCATTCCTCTCCAGGAAGTTTCACATTTATTCACACCTGGAAGCCGTGGGCCATGAGCCATATGGTTTAGAGGGGAGACTAAATACTGGGACTTCTGAATATTCAAGTTAGAACTGAGGAAGCCTCTTGGATGAGATGTGATAAATCTTCAAGAACCAAAATGTAAAGTCTAGTTGCCCTCTACATTTACATTTTTGGTTGTCTGAATTAGTAAGTAGTCACTGATATAAAATCGCATAACAGTACAATGCAATGCAGTTAAACAGCACCACAAACTAGATAAGCATAAAACTGAGTTTAGTTTAGGATTTATTGTAAGGCATCTTGTCTTAGAGTGACTGAATGCATCTCAATATAACATCACTGATTATCTCATCTTTCTTTCTACCGCATTTAGGCAGTGTGTTCTTCATGGACCCAGCAGATCATGTCTCTGATCCTGTTTGCCTTTGTGGTTCGGGTCAGGGATGGACTCCCCCTGTCAGCCTCCACAGACTTTGAACACAATCGAGAGCTCCAGGAGAGAAAGCAGCAGCTCAGGACCATCAGCAAGGCGCTGGCCCGTTTCCCTGACAGGGGGACCGTCAAGGGCCAGCAGCTTAACATATAGTAAGGACTCAGGAAACAAAGCAGCAGCAGCCTGATTCCATGCACTATCCGTAGCTGCAAAAAAGACACAATACACAGTCCAAAGCTGCTCAGTGTGTATTTAATTTTGTGACGCAGAAGACAGACGCAGCGTTGTCCATTTGAGCACAGGGCAGCTATGTCACACTGCGTCAGGCTGTTTGTTTACTAAACACCTTTTCTCCTCTCACCTGTTCAGCTTCGTCTCATCAGAGGGTGTATCCTACATGACCGTGTGCCACTGCAGCCTCCCTGTTGCTAAGGCCTTCTGCTTCCTGGAAGATCTGCGCTGGGAGTTCACAGCATGCTTCAATAGCACTGTTGTTGCCTTGGCAGCCAGGCCATATCCATTTTTGGAATTTGGTGAGGGAAGAGGAATGGTGTCATCTAGATTTGGTATTTTAAGATCACACTGGGTTGTTTTATATCAAGACGCAATGTGTTGAATGAGAAAAATGTCATGTAAATAACAGTTTTTTAAAAATTTGGTTCATCCAAATCTAAATGTTGCTGCTGCCGATTGACAGACGGCACCATTCAGAAGCTGAAGCAGCAGTACAACCAGAGCGGTGGTCCAGCCTTAGAGGTGACGTTGGCAGAAGTCCAGGAGGACCTGAGGATCCATCCACCACAAGTGATTAACTTGGATGAGGTGGAGCTAAGCAATGGCACTGCAAATGGGCACATGGAGCAAGGTCCTGGATCCGGTAAGACATGGAGCATTTGGAGTATATTTATAGGATGATTATTTTAGGCTCAAGTATTTTAGGAAAAATGAGAAAAATTGTAATGTTTCACTGTGTTTTATTGCTATAACATTTATTTGTTCTGTGTGACAGGTCAAAATCAGAGACTTGAACCAGTAACAGCACCGGGCATCCTCTCTCTGGTCCTTAATATCATGTGTGCGTCTTTGAATGTGATCCGTGGGGTGCACCTCATAGAGTACACATTCCAGGTATCTGATCACAGACATTTTAAAATACTAGTATTAATCTACACGTGTGTTAATGTATTTTAGGAGAAAGAATCTTATAACAGAGCAGTTTGGTTTGCTGAGTCTGAGATTTTATTAGGATGTAATCATACTTAAAATAACAGTAATCACAGATAAGTTGAACTGGCCACAACAAAAGCATTTTGTTGTGAAGAAGAGGTGTAATGGTGAGGTTGTGCTCAAGTGTCACTCTTGCTGGAGTTAATTTATAATCTAAAGACAGGGGAGAAACACCTGAGCAACAGATCAATATTTGGTTTCATTTATGTATTTCTCTTTTCACAGGATGATTATGACGGTGTTTGGAATGTCGTGGCATTTCTCCTGGCATTCATCTGCTGTGTTTTCCAGGTGAGTTGCAGTTCAGATGCTAACGCACCGTTTGCAAACAGACACGAGCTCATGTCAAACCCTTCCTGACCCCCCCACAGTGCCACCTCTACCTGTTCCACTCGTCTCTGAAGAAACTGAAGTCCTTTACTCTGCTGAGTGTGATCGTCCTATGCAACTTGTTCCTGTTCGGCATGAGAAACGCGTGGCAGCTCATCTTCCACATTTCTGTTGCCTCCCTCTCCACCGTCCTCATCCTCAATCGCAAACTCCAAGACAGAACCAATGACTGCGGGGTCTGAGGGGCAGAGGACAGTTTAACGTGTTGCACCGGTTTTCAGCGCAGGTGAGAACGACGGCAGAGTAAATGGCCTGATTCACGTTCGTTATAAAGATGTCGTATGGATTTTTAACAAAAAAACATTCAGAAATTTTGTGTCATCATGGACAATTATAATTACAAGTTCATATTTTCTTTTATACAGTATGTACTTGCACTTTGTGTACATTGTTTTCAAGAGATAAAAAGGAATCCAGTTCTACCTGGATCTTTTAAAATACTTGGTTGACCTCAAAGTAGGAACAAAACGCACAGGAAGGAGAACAAAAATATCGATACATCTCAGTCAAACCCATCTTTTCCAAAAAAAAAGTTTTTAAAGAAGTTGAAGAAGTTTTTTCTGTCAGAGTTGCTGACCAAAGTTTTTCACATAGAAACAATAATGTCAAAGTCCTGACTCTTTGAAGCTACTTACAGTTTTGTAATTAACATACATTTCTGCTCACATTCAGCTCAGTATTTTTCCTGCTACCACAGACCATTGAATATCTTTCTATAGTCAGTTTACAGCGCGAGGTGACGGTTTGTTATTGTGAGTTCATGGATAATTAGATACTTTATATAACATTGGTAAGAGTGTAACACTTCAATGATTTAGTATAGTTTGAATAAATATAGGTAAAAAATCAAGGATAGTGGGCAATGCTGCTTTTAAATTTTGTTTTCAATTATTCCATTTTTCGGTTACTATAAAAACTTAATTCAGAGGTGTAGATGTGAAGCTGAGGGTTGTTTGTTGCCTTACTGTGTGACGATGGAAGTGTAGTTAAAAGGGTTTGTTATGTTGTTTTGCAGATTCACCGGCAAGTGCTCAGCTACTCATTGCAAAGGTTCAGATCTAAGGGCTCCATTATTTAATGACTTCACAGTCTTATCTTAGATCAGGAGTTTAGTCTTATGGTCATTTAAGGCGTCATGGTGGGACATGTGATCTTTTAAATACCTACTCTTTTTTTTTTTTTTTTAAACACAGTTTTCAGTTGAAAGAAAACTTTGTTGCATCACCTCTGATTGGAGCCTTTTTTTGTACAATGAAAGCTAATTTAGATATTTAAGTTCTGTCTTTTTCTACTGATTTCTGCATTGTGGAGAAGTAACCTGAGGGTAAAGCACTGATTTGATGCTTAAATAGTAATTTGTTGGAAAAGCTGCACTATTATGTTTCGATTGTTTTTTTTTTGTGATGGTTTTGGAAAATGATCTTGAATGTGTTGCATAACGGGTTTAGCTAAAATGATATTTATATCCTGTTTTATGGTTTCGTTTTTTAAAACTCTCTCTTTTCTTGGGGGTTTATACCACGACTCCCGGTCTGTAGTTCTCACATTAACATAGAAATCCCGTGCTTCTAACTTATGTTTGAATATAAACACATCACAGTAGTGCTGCTAAATAAGTAGACTAAGTATAATTCTCTTTTTAGTTTGTATTTTTCTCACATACTTAGTTTTTAATGACTACAAAGTTGCACTGTTAAGCAAAGGAAGTAAATTATAGGTTATAGTGTTAGTCAAACAAGTAGCATTGTGGCTAAAGTGGGATTATATAAAATCCGTCCTTTTTTCCCTTAATGTTTGATCTCTCATTTGATCTAGAAGGTTCGAGGTGATTTTTAAAGAATAGGGTTGCATCTCATCCGACGATCCAAACGCCCTTTACTGTAACGCACCGTTAGGTTCAAATGGCGAGCGTTCTACTTGTAAATTTGCATTTATTTCTAAGTAAATCTGTTTTGTCCAGAACTCAGACTTACGGTGGCTCAGTAAACAGCCTTTTTGATTTTGTGTTCACTGAGGTTTTTTTTTTCTTCTGACAGGGTTAAGGTAGATTTTCTGATTGGTTGGTTCTGAAATGTTCAAATGGGATAAATAAGTGTTTTTATTTGTTATGCCACGTTGCGTTTCCTGTGCAGGACATTGGTGATGCTGTAGTGTTTTTGATATAAAGGAGGTTTTACTGTTTCACCAGTTCTACTACAAGAAATGTGTTATGACATCGCTGACCAAATGAATTGTAAAAACAATTTTGTACTTATCAATGGTTTGAAGATGTTGAACCAAATCATGCGGGGGGTAATTTAAGTCTCCAAATGAAGGCTATTTATGTTTACTATGAAGGTTTTTGACAAACAGTAGAAATGCACTGTGCAACTGAAATATATGGCAGCCTTCTCTTTTTGTTGTTGATTGGTAGCAAAAGTCTAAACTGGAAACAGTTTGAAAATCTGTTAGACTCACAAGAGCAGGCTGGAATCTGTTGTGTCTGTTTCTTGGACGGTTTCTCTTGTTCAATACAGCCTCAGTTATTTGTCTAATTCGACCCACATAAGGTTGATTCAGTGGCTGCAGAAGTAACGCGCCCATGTCATTGGTCATAACTGCCAAAAACACTGGTGATCACAGGGCTTTATTTTATCCTGCTGTGGTAAAACTGACATTTCATTAATAAATAGTGTCTTTTTTTTTTCCATTTGTTGAACTGTCATTTTGTGTGCACGGAATTAGAATTACCTCCATATTTAACATTAGTTTGACATAATCAGCATAAAGAATATTTCCTTCATGATTTTGGTAATTTTTCTTTTAAATATACAGGCGTGTGACAAATTAAAGGAAAAAAGCCAACATATGTCACCAGAGCAGCTTCAGCGCTGATTCTTCAAGTCTTTGTAACACAATTCTTCCAAAAGATCAGAATCACAATTCTTTTTTTTTTGTCATTATGCACACACTTCCATACACAAAACGAAGTTCCAGTTGGAGGTCTCAGCTTTCAGAAAAAAGAACAAAAATGGCATAAATAGACTTCAAAAGTACAAACACAAATAAGAAAGTATAAAATACATAAATACAAACGCTGTAAACATTCTTTAAAAAAATTAAATAAAATAAAAACTGCAGATATATTCCCTCATTTGTTTTTTTGATGGTGGAAAGTGCCATCTAACATGTCAGTCCAAAATCTCTAAAAGGTTTCAATTAGGTTGAGATCTGGTGACTGAAAGCGATACACATAATTTTCAGGCTTATCGGACCATTAGAAAGATATGTTTCATCATTCAATAAAGTCGATCCATGTCTGTATGTCGTATTTAGATAAGAAGCCTTTTAATGTTTGAACTTGCACTGAAAGAAAAACAGACTAGATGTGGAAATAAATGACAAAACTTTAAACGAGATGCGACCGCAACCTCAAATTGATGCATTTTTCCAATATTACACCAGATGGAGCCCTTTCACAATGTCACAGCTTGTGTTGTTGCAACAATAGAGGCTGTGTGCCGTGGTTCATTACATGTTATTAGAGTTGGAGACATTCATCATCATAAGCTACAGTTTGAGCCCACAGTCTATTCACCGTGGGCTGGAGGCCAAATAAATCATATAAATGAAAGTGTTCTGTTGCTTGAAAGACAGTAATTTTTAAAACGCTGCAAAGACGACGCTGAGCTAATCCATTTGCGATTATTTACTTCTGAGATACATCAAAGCCAGATGGGAAAGGGCACAAAAGGTTGGAACAATTGGAAAGAATACTAAATTTATACTAGCATTTTATTAAGTGTCACATTTAATGCTGTGGGAAATTAAACAGGACACAACCGCATATACAGGAACTTTAAATTAGATTTGATAGCCTCATCCACATTGTACAGCACAAGTCCAGATGTATTTAGATCTTCTTTAACCAGTCTTATAAGATGTCTCAGGAAAAAACACAACAAATAGGTAAATGAAAGTTTGGTGCCACCTTAGAAACCAACACAAATGAGTGAAACCATGGGGGGAAAATGGTCATTTAAAACGATTTGGCTCTAGTTCAGGCTACGTATAGTAATTTTCACATTGAAAGGCGACCTTGGCTTTGACAGAAGTTAACATAAAGAAGGAAGCCTTTCATCGTACGTAGCAACGAGTGTCTGACGTGATAAGTCAGACAGCACAGTGGAGGGTTGTGAAGATGAATGCTGGAATTAGTGTCAACATTCATTCATGTGTTTTTCAGATCTTCAGGGGTTTTATGAAATCTTTATTCAGTTAAAGGTACAGGACAACCTTGAGGGTGATGAATAAAACTTTCAGTCTTTCATTAGAGTAAGAAAAAAAAACGCTGCTTTGTGTCTTGTTTCTTTCTTTTTGCAGGTGTCTAAGCTCTAACATTTGCACCATTTCGCATTCAGCCTTCACTGCAAGGCTCTCCTGTGAGGAGAAGTTTTTATCTAGATAATGGAGTTCTGAGCCTCCTCACATCCAGCAGAAGTACAAAACTTTAAAATGCTTGAAATTCACAGGCCTCTGTGGGTTCTTAATGGGTCTCTGGCTTTCTCCCACAGTCCAAAGTCATACTGAGGTTAATTGGTGATTCTAAATAGTCCGTAGGTGTGAATGTGAGTGTGCTTGGTTGTCTGTCTCTCTATGTGATAGACTGGCGACCTGTCCAGGTTGTACACTGCCTTCACCATAAGTCAGCTGGCATACACTCCAGGCTCCCTGAGACCCTACAGAGAATAAAGCAGTGTAGAGATAATGGATGGATGGATTTCACCGACTGTGCCCTCATCCAAAGTTCGCAGACAACACAACTGTGACTTATCTCAGGAAGAGACGAGTTTGCCCTGAAGAGATAAAGTCCAAAGGCTGACAGTGTGGTGTTCAGACAACAATTTGGTCCTGAACCCCACAATAAAAAAAACAACCTATCATAGACTTTTGAAAAAAAACCAAGCACTGATCCAGAATGTGTGGAAATGGTCCCTGCCTTTCCTGGATACACACACTGATGAAGATCTCTCCTGGACTACCAACACCACAGCAGCAGTGAAGAAGGCCCGGCAGCGACTCCTCTTCCTGAGGATCCTCAGAAAAAACAACCTGCAGGAAAAGCTGCCAAGTGTCCTTTTAGCCCTGCTGCATTGAGACCATGCTGTATCACTATGTGGTTCAGCAGCTGTTCAGCAGTAGACAGGACCACCAGAGGATCATCAACACCGCCCTGAAGATCATCGGCTGTTCACTGCCTTCTTTGGAGGCCTTATTCAACTCTCACTGCCTCAGTATAGCAGCAAGGATCAATCCTGTTTGACCCACTACCCTCAGGTAGAGGCTTCAGATCACAGACAAATAGACTGAAAAACAGTTTCCCAACCCAGAGCCATAAAAGAACTGAACTGTCTTAACACTAACTGTCTGGATCTAAGCACCTCCAACCTTCTTATGCATTTTCTACTTATTTTTTTTCACACTAAAAAAAATTTGTTGCAAATCACAATGATAGTAAAGATATATTTTCTATTCTATTCTATTCTATTCTATTCTATTCTATTCTATTCTATTCTAAGATATACATTGGCCTTTCATTATCTTTGACAATATTAGTCACTGCAGTTTTCAATAAAGTCACAAATAATCCTTTAATATATGAAAAAAAATTCATAAAATCCCTCCATAAATTAGACCGACTGCCCGTTGGCGTATTATTTTTATGTCCCTAGTTTACGGACATTGACATATTTGTGCCATTAGCTGTAAAGCATCGAGTGTTTGTTAGCATTTTCATGCATATTAAGGACTGAAAATTTGAGGTTGTAACTAAAGGCAAATGGAACATGTCTCTCAGGGCTCATTGTGGTGTTATAAATCCGCAGCGCCATCAGTCCAGCCACAGTGCATCTAAATTAAACGATCAGCTTCAGATGTGATCCTCATTTGCACAGACTAACGGCTTTTATCCTAATTGGCAGAAGCTTCTGCTGTTGAGAAGCTGCCCTCTCTTCCCGAACAAATAGACTCGACTGCATGGGTGGTCTTGCTGAACTGTTTATGGCTCACATTTCTTTCGCTCACAAACAAGTGCCTGCTCTCCTCCCACGTGTTCGAAGAACAGCAACACTTGTGCTTCATAAATGTTTGTCTTATCAGCTGCAGGTAATAACAAAATACACAGCAAATGAATTTCGCAGATGATTAAATCCAGCATTTATGGCCTTTTCCATTTTTCTTGTATTGCAATAGTAGCGTGATAGGTTTCACCCACACAGGCGCGGAGCTGTTTCCTGTCTCTTTCGCTGACTGACAGTTGCTGGCAGGCATGAAATCTGCACACAAGTCACTTGAGCATTTGAGATTTGTTTGTTTACAGAGCAAGAACATCACGTAACAGTAAAGTAAGACCAGATCGAGATCAGGGATTCCCAATTAAGAGTACCTTTAAGAAGACTTCTGGTGTGATTGTAGCTTGATTAGGTTTTTAAAAGTCCAGATATTGAGTCGTCTAACAACAGAAAGAACATGATACGACTTGTGTGTCGAGTGTTGTGTGTCAAGGAGTGGTCTGAACAAACAACAATGTAATAGTGCCTTATCTATGTGGTGGTAATTTGAAAACAATTCCATATTTAAGGATGTATTGTGCCTTAAAGAGAGGTACATTTTGGGGTCAAGACTGGCTTGATTGGATGAACTGCTCTGGAGAGACTGACAAACAGCCAGGAGAGTTGTTCACTGGTAAACTTGAGTTGCATGCTTGCTGTTTTGTTTCAGTTATGATGACTGTTATTTTCTCATCAGTTTTTGATTCACTGTAATTGTGGCTGTTTCTTTGGGAAATTGCCTCCGAGGGTTGCAGTTTTTCATTAAGTAAATGTTTGCTTATTTTCTAGTATCCAATTGTGATGCATTTGCGATGCAATTTTAGCATGAAGTAGAACAAGCACCTTGCACTTTGCATGCTCCGTCTAGCTTTCAATATTTAGAAGATCCTGGCTCCAACTGGAAAAGATGGCGTTGATTATAAAGCCATTTTCTAGGCTTTAGTTTGGCTCCGGTGTAAACTAATAGGTGATGCTACTCCTATCTTCCAAAACACGACATTGGTGTAAATAAAGTGAAAAGGTTGAACTATACAGCTAAAAATAATAATGAACAGTTCCAGTAAGGATGGATGGTTAACAAAGGATATGTCAATTTATCCAGATATCCTTTAGCATGAAACCATACAGCCGTAATATGTGTTTAAAATAACACAGATTAATGGTTAGATTGCTAAAATGGGAACCCTTGGTGGCTAAAATTATCTGAAAATAGCAGATAGGTGAACCACTTATCCAAAAGTAATAGATAAATGGATGGCACAAAATGAATGGAGAGGTGAAAAAGCGGCTAATAGCTGCCTTAAAGTATTGGCCGAAATCTTGAAAAACATTCATAATTGAAAACAAATGTGGTATCCACTTTCATAGAAACATCCAGATTAAAATTAGTTCAAAACAACATTTGGAGCTTGAATCCATTTTCAAGCTGTGTGGGACAAAAAGGTTGAGAACCGTTGCTCTGTGGTTCACCTCACTGGCAGCAAAAACCCGCCCAAAACAACCTCATTCAGAAGGTCAAACCTGACCTGATAGTTTAATGTGCTGGCAGGGAGTCTTCAGGAGTTGGGCTAAATGAAATTACTCTGAGCCTTGGTAGATT